AAATGTTCACAATAGCATTATTCACAATAGCCAAAAAGTAGAAAAACCCCAAATATCCATCAATTGAGCAATAGATAAACAAAACATGATATAGCCACACAAAGTAGCATTATTTATCCATTCAGAGGAATACCATATTGTTATGTGCTATAACATAGATGAACCTTAAAAACATTATCCTAAGTGAAAGAAGGTMGACACAAAAGGCCATGTTACTATGCAATCACATATTTATGAATTGTCTAGAAACAGGCAATCTATAGAGAAAAAGTAGATAAATTGGTAGTTTCCAGGGGCTGGGAGAAGCAGCAAATGAGTATAGGGTTCCTTTAGAGATACTGAAAACATTTTCAAATTAGTGGTGACAGCTACACAAACTTGTGAAAATGCTAAAAAGCAATGAATTGTGTACTTCAAAGGTTCATTTTATGTTAATTATATCTAAATGTTTTTCATCTGTGAGAATGACAATAAAATGATGATGCTGATATTGTTGGGACCATGGAGAAAAAGACACATTACTTGTGTGCCTTATTAAGAGCAATTCAGCACCAGGAATTAAAAGGTTTCAAGAATCCATGTGCTTTTCCCTTGCAATTCCAATTCCAGTATTTTATCTTAAGAGAATAATTTAATGTAAGCGCAAGGATGTATGTGACGATATGTTCTTTACAGAATTATTTATAAAAATACTTTAAATCCTTGTCCAGAAATAAGGAGCTACTTAAATAATTAATCCATTTAATATTAAAAGGTATGTTTTTATTTATTAATATGGAAAGCTATTCAAATATCTCAAATGGAATAAAAGTGGGATACAAAATGAATATATAGTATATATATATATATATATATATATATATATATATAGTATGAATATATAATTTTTGTAAGTATATAGATCAAGTCATTATAGTCTGAAGGTGTGTTAGCTTTATCTTGCTCTGGCTTAGGACGTGAGGAAATCAACTTCCAGGAGGAAAGATTTATTTTGGTTCACAGTTTAAGAGGTCTCAGTTTATGGTCAGTTGGCTCCATCACTTCTGGCCTTTGTTGAGGCAGATCAAGGTGGTGGGGAGTGCAGGGGTGAGGCACAGCTGCTCCCCTCAAGGCAGCCAGGAAACTGAGAGAGAGAGAGAGAGAGAGAGAGAGAGAGAAGGAAGGGTTGGAGAGAAAATATACCCTTCAAAGGTCAAGCCTGGGGATCTACTTCCTGAAACTAGGCCCCACCTCCCAAAGGTTGCACCACAGCATCACAGGTTGGCAGCCAAGCTTTCAGTACATGGCCTTTGGGGGACATTTTAGATCCAAATCATAACAGAAGGACATGTAACTATTAACAAYTGTTGCCTGGGCAGATGTTAAGTGATATTTTGGTTGTTGTGAATATGAATTATCTACTTTTCCACAATTAATATGTGCTATTAATAAAATAAATACTGACTTTTCAAAATATATTTATCAACCTTAATGTTGCTTCTATTGAGACAAATTGAGATTAGGTGCCCCTGAAATGATACACAGTATTAACTATGTAATATTCCTGCCCCCCCCAAAAAAAGTCTAATCCAATTATAATTATGTGGAAATAAAGAAAATTTTAAGAACATCCTGTATATGTATGTCTTGGTCTTTTCAAATGTCAATATCATGAAAGGAAAAAGAAAGCCTGAGGGACTGTTCTAGATTAAAGGCCACTAAAGAAATATTACAATTGAATATAATTCACCATGCTTTTTTGTTCCCAACACAGTGGATAAAAATAAACCCACAACAAAACACAYCTTTGTGAAATTTGTTAGAAACAGAGAAGAAAAATAAGCTTCTTTCTAGAAGGGAAAAAATAATGATCACATCAAAACAAATCATGAATGAGAATGACTTATAGCTTTTCAACACAAACACTTAGAAGCCAGGAAGCAATGCCTCCAAAATTTAGCAGGAAAATGTTTTCCTAAATAGAATTCTAAACCTTGCTAAATCATTAGTTAAACATRAAGTTAGACTAAAGAAATTTTCAGATATGCAGTCTCAAAAAATTCCCCTTTCTCAAKAAGTCACTGAAGGATGCCTTCTTCCCAAGCAAGGAAATTAAATCAAGAAAGAAAAAAAAATCATGAAATCAGAAAATTGGAGAACCAGTCTAAGTGGAAGGAATCTCTAGGATGATGAARATGAAGAAAGATGCCAGAATGAGTGACCTAGAAGTCCACCTGTCCAGGCAGACTGTCTTCATGACTCAAGTAATGGACACAAGGAGGTCTCTCACTGTTTAGTCCTCAAACCTTATACAAACTTTTTAGCCTTTTGAAATAATGGATGTGTTCTACCAAGAGAATAAATCAAACAAACAAACARCCCAAAGATTCAAGAAACAGGAACTGCAAACCAAAAGAGAGACAATTTCAGTGACAACAAGTAGAAGTCCCTGAGTGATAGTAATGTGTCACACCTAGAGAAATCAGCCCAAACTAAAGGGAAATGAAAGTCTCTAAAAAGGAGGTTTCCAGGGAGGAAAAAATGGAATTGCCATATTTTGTTATGAAACAGACCTTGTAGAAATTGTACAGAGGGACTATATGCCAGCCCTTGTCTGACATGTGTGAGGCACTGGGTTCAATTCTCAGCATCGAATATAAAAAAATTAAAAACAAAGGTCCATCAACAACTAAATAATAATAATAATTATTATTATTAATTATTATCTATTCCTGTAATATCAGCTACTCCAGAAGCTGAGACAGGAGGATCTCAAGCTGCAGGCCAGCCTAGGCAATTAACTAAGACTCTGTCTTAAAATGAAAAAAAAAAGGGGCTGGGAATGTAGCTCAGTGGTAGAGCAGCACTGTGTTCAATCCCTAGTACTAGCCCCCCAAAAAAAGGCATTACCTGTGATTACAATGAAAAGTAAGAGAAGGCAATTATTAATTTCCAAAACAGAAAATAATGATCTTTATAATATACTACAATACTCAGTGAAAATAGTTTCATTTTATAATAATGCAAACACTGAATACAGGTATATACCCAAATTGTAATATTACTATTTTGATACTATGAGAAAGGGAAAACAGTGGGAACAGAGATGTGAAARGTAAATCTTCATCCTTTTCTAGTAAGAAGTTAACAGAAAATATCTAAAACTGTTGCATCAATAAAAAGCATTACACATTTATTACTTAAAATAATGGAATTATGTAAATACCAAAAGAAACAGCAAAGAGTATCTAGAAGAGAAGATGTAAAAACAGAAATGTTAGGACAGAGAGTCATTTATGTTATCAGCTTTCTAGTTCTATTTGACTTTAAAACTATGTACATGTGCTATTTTGATAAGAATTAGTTTTTAAATCAATGTTTTAACAGGTCTTATGAAATGTTAAGTTCTATGAAATGTAATTTCACTGCTAGAGTATTRTTTTGTAATATGCATGAGCATTTCAACAAATCTGAGACCAATTATAGAACTATCTTGAGGAATACTGAACTAACATTGGATAGGAGAATGATTGAATGATGAGTACTGCTAAGAGTGGATCATAAACTGGATAATGTTACATAGAAAAGGGCCTCGGACAAGACCCTGAAGAATGTGAAAATCAAAACTGGACTTTGGAGTTTTTCAGAGCTATCATTCTACCTCTTTCTTAAATGTCCCATCCAAGACAACTCCATCCATACATCTCCACAAAGCTTCCTTGGTCTTCTCTAGACGATATTGGGATGGGTAGGACAGGCATTTTTTTTTTCCTTAGGTGGTGGATTTATAGTCAAGGCAGGAACTTTCACTCCAGATTACCTGAAATACATTATATTCATTATTTCATCAACTGAACATATATTCACTGATATCTATTTTGTATCAGGCCCAGCACTGATATGACAATGAAAATGGCAAAGGTCTCTGACTTAAAAAGACCTTAAAAAATGAGATTCATACAACAACTGGAAGGACTGTCACATGTACCAAACCAAACCTTTCTATTCTGTGCATCTTCAAGTTCCAAACCTTTCATCAGCCTGGGAATGTGAACCCCAGCAGACACCCACACCTCCCTGGCCTACAGACCARTAAGTACAGGAACTTCTACTTTTGCGGTGATTAACGTGAAGGATGCACAAAGGACAAATTGATGCTTCTAACAGGAAAACTAAAATTTGTTTGTGAAGTAGGACTAAAATAAAAGAGGCAGCATTTAATCTAAACCATTTCCTGTGATTTGGATTTCCTTTTAAAAAATTGGCCGCCTTATCATTTTCTTAGTCACCATTTCTCTAGGATTATTGGAGGCGTAGTCCCTCCTAGCAACCTCCCATCTGCTGGAAAACAGGATCAAGAGAAGGAGAGCCGTGGTGACACAATCCTCAGTGGATGAAAATACTAGGAAAAAGCAAAACACATATGTCATTTGCATAAAACCTCTTAATGCCCTCTTCAGCCAAATGAAATGAGTTTTACATCACAGAGAGGGCAGCTGTAATCCACTGCTGCTAATAATGAGGAGTATCTGAAACTATCTGCAAACCACTGCCACTCCTAATTGCCAGGCAACAGCACTGCGCTTAGTTCTCTCCAACTGACACACTCCCATTGCTGGGCAAAGGAAGGCAGGTTTCTGGCGCTCCTGTGTTCCTCATTGTAGCACAGACCCACAGCATTTCAAATCGGTCTTTTTGGTTTTCCTTTCTTCTTACAGGCAATCACGAAACCATGTGGGCGTGTGGGGGAGTTGATACAATCTCGGTCTAGAGCTTCCTATCTCCTTGTTGGGCCCTGGTTAACATTAGCCTTTACAAATGGCCAAGCAAAGCGACCAGCTGTGCGCTACCAGTAAATATTGAAACTGTGAAGCTCCCAAAGCACTTATCCGCAGCTCCCGCATGGGTAGCTTGGAGGGCTGCCACAGAGATTATAAAAGAATATGCTAGGAYTGGGGGGCGAGATGAGGAGAAGGTGGAGAATAGGAATCATGTGTGTTCCTTGAGTGTACAACCCACATTTGAGTGACAAATGACGAGGACAACCTATAAAAACAACTAAGTGCAAATCCACCCAAATCCATCTCCCTCTCGATGCGTGTGCTTTTCCAACTAACTTTGGGAATTCGTGTAGACCAGCGTCTCTTTCTGCGCCACCTCGCCTCCACTTTGGTTTCCCGCGCTCTGCCTGCCTTCTTCGGTGCCTCCCCTTCCTCCTGCCTAAGGATGGAAGATTCTTTCAGCCCCTCAACTCTGCCACCTGCGCCCAATCTCTCCGTACCCATCTTGCCGAACTGGGGTTTCAACCTGACTTCTGGGAAGGGAGCCAGCGTCCCGGGTCCGCAGTCGCCGCCACCCGGACCACGCATCCCCCGGGTCAGCCTGGTCTTACTGGGGGTCTTCTTGGTGGCGGCAGTGGCCGGCAACGCCACGGTGTTATGTCGCTTGTGCGGCGGCGGGCCGTGGGCAGGTCCCAAGCGTCGCAAGATGGACTTTCTGCTGATGCAGCTGGCCGTGGCGGACCTGTACGCGTGCGGGGGTACTGCACTGTCCCAGCTGGGCTGGGAGATGCTGAAAGGGCCGCGTCCGGCTGCGGGCGACCTGGCGTGCCGTTTCATGCAGCTGCTACAGGCGTCTGGCCGGGGTGCCTCTGCCCATTTCGTGGCACTCATCGCTCTCGAGCGCCAGCGCGCTGTGCGACGTCCCCAGGGCCCGCCGCTGCCCGCACGCTCCCTCGCCGCCTTGGGCTGGCTGCTGGCGCTACTCCTGGCACTGCCCCCGACTTTCGTGGTGCGCGGGGGCATTCCGCAGCCGCCGCCTTCCGCCGCGTCCCCGGCCGCCCGCTCTTGGCCTGGGGAGCGTCGCTGCCGCGGCATCTTCGCCCTCCTCCCGCGCTGGCATCTGCAGATCTACGCGCTCTACGAGGCTGTCGCGGGCTTCGGGGCGCCAGTCGCGGTCATGGGCGTCGCTTGCAGCCACCTGCTCAGCGTCTGGTGGCAGCGCCGGCCCCAGGCCCAAGCCATTGCGGCTCCCTGGTCGGCTAGTCCGGCCGGAGGCCCCGAACCCAGTGCGCTGCCCCGTGCCAAGGTTCAGAGCCTGAAGATGAGCCTRGTACTGGCGCTGCTATTTGTGGGCTGTGAGCTGCCCTACTTCGCCGCCCGGTTGGCGGCCGCGTGGTCGTCCAGGCCTGCGGGAGACTGGGAGGGAGGCCAGGCGGCCGTTTTGCGCGCCGTGGGAGTGGCCAGTAGTGCTCTCAACCCTTTCGTCTACCTCTTCTTCCAGGCGGGCGATGGCTGGCTTTGGCGGCGGCTACGGAGGCGCCTGGGCGCTGTGTGCTGCGCGCGGGAGGGAGTCTCGGAAGACAACGAGTGGGCCGGGGACCACCAGGCGCTCCACCGCCACCGGTGGCCCCACCCGCACTACCACCACGCTCGGCGGGAACAGCGGGACCAGGGCTGCAWGCGCCCACCCCCGCCGCGCCCCAGACCGCTGCCCTGCTCCTGCGAAAGCGCCTTCTAGGGGCACATTTGGGCGGAGGCAGGTCACCTGTTGCCGCAGCTTTGCCTCCAGGTGGGGTGAGACCCTGAAGCTGTCCCCTTCCTCCACGCCCCTATTATGTTGGTTTTTTTTTTTTTTTTGTAATGTTTACGTTTTCCTACACTTTGCACTTATTTTCTTCCCTTCAATTCCTCTCACATTTCCTCACTTGGAGAGGAGAGAGCCTTTGGAAAGTTGTGGGAAAAAAAATGGATTTCGGAGTTATTTTTGCAGTTTTCTTTCATTCTCCCATTGTGTTCTGGATAAGACAGTTTATTTTAGCTAAACTACCAAACTTTCATTATTTGTTGTGATATCATCTGGTTTTCGTTATTTCGAATCAAGTGTACCTTGAGTACTAGGGAGTTTGCCATTCCTTCCAAAAGAAGGGAAGTCCCCATATTACTCTCTCTGGGGAGACAAGGAGTTGTACCAGTAATACTGTCAGAAATGTAATCATGCTGCCACTTCAAAGACACAGAGTATTTGTAAAATAAAAACATTTCCCACAGAGCAATTAGGTCTTTTTTTTTTTTAACATGGTAATGTCTTTTCTCAGAAGAAAAATAAATGTGGTTTTTCTTTCCAGTCTTGCTTTCACTGAAGCTAAGATTGTAGGAAGGAAACAAAAGTTTCCCTTAGTCCCTTTTAAACATGCCTGGTTTTTGTAGGAAATAGTCCCTATACCCAGATCAGCTTCTAAAGCTGTGATGTGCCCAGGTGGAGACTCTTAGTGCAAAGTCCCAGCTAACCAGAGAAAAAAAGTGCTAAGATGTGTACAGGGATGGGGCTCATTGTCCCAAATGTATCCTTAATGAAATATGCAGCAAGAAAGGAAGTTGAGACCTCTAAATACTTCATGTATATAAAACTCCCATTTAGAAAAACAAATCCAATACCAGGTCAGTGACACACATTTATGTAATGCCAACTACTTAAGAAGCTAAGCCAGGAGAATGGAAAGTTCAAGACTAGCCTGGGMAACTTCGAAAAACCTRTCTCAAAATTAAAAAAAAAAAAGTAAATAAATAAATTCAAAACCTATTGATGTGGATTGCTGAAAACAAAGTCAACAGATTTGATCCAAGACCTTTTCCTCTTAACTGTCCTTCATTCTAGAAAGAAGTGGCAGCACTTATGAACAATATATCCACATCCTTACCAGTGACTTTCACCCAAGAATCTGCAGCTTTCTATGGTTGTGYTTCTTGTTCATAAACAAATACAAGACTAAGATGCACAAAGTRGAAATGACTGGTTAAAGCTTATTTGTAGATCCAATACTCTATGAGAGCTGTTTTGTTCACTGCTGTATCTTAAATGCTTTCAAYATTCCACACAGAGTAGGCATTCAATACACATTTGTTGTCTAATTTATCACATGATTTCRGCATGGATAGAACAGATACATGTTAAACAAAAGAAAATATTTACTTAGTGTGGTTTACCTTCCTCCAGAATTTTGACAACAAATGTTACAGAATTAAATAAATTTTCCTTCTTCTTTTTTGCCTCTCCTATCCTGTTGAGCATATTATGGTCTGAAAAATATCAGAAATATGTCATTCAAAATGGACAATTGTTTTCTTCAGAAACTGTATGGTGATCTTCATGAACCCAAGTTGGGACTATAGAATTTTTGCTCATTAGTYAACATTTATTACCTACTTATTTTGTGACAGATAATTACTAGAAATTGGAAATGCGGCGTATTACCTGACACAAAATAAGACACCTTTTTTCCATCAAAGACTGTATACTCAGATATAATCTGACAATAATACTGCAGGATCACATGCTCAGGGGGTGTTAGGAGCCCTGAAGAGGAGCATCTAGTAATCTTAGGAGACATCAGAGGCCAATTAGGAAAGGCTGAGTCTTGAAGGCTGACCTGGGTGATCTATCAGATAGGGAAGGATGTCCTACACAATGGGAAGAATCTCTGTAAAGCATAAAGGAGACATAATACAACATGGGCAAGCAATGACAATAGTGAAATGTTTAGCATTAGGGCTCCTGTGGGGCTTGAACTGATGGAATACGATGCCAACAAGATCGGCCTAGAYCCAATGAAGAAAGATCTGTGGGCCAGACCAAGAAAGTAAGAAATAGCCTTTGAAGAACTTAATCAGAGTTGTAACATGATCATGCTTGAATTTTGGAAATGTCATTTCAATGATGGCACAATGGACCAATTGGAAGAGCAGTCCTTCCTAGAAGCAAGATCAAGGCAGAAATTCAGAGACTATTCAAACTATGACTTGTAGTATTATGCTACTTACAATGATCTCAACTGAGATAATAAATTTCATCTAGCTGAATTGGGTTTTCTGCTGCCTGTGGTTGACAGAACCCTAACAAAGCTGATTCAAGTGGCTTAAATTTTCATCTCAWRTAATAAGAAGTCTAGTGGTAGGCTGCACTAGAGTTGACTAATTGAGTAACAACTTCATAATCAAAGACTGTGATGGTTAATTTTATATGTCAACTTGACTAACAGATCCCAGATAAAACATTTTGGGGTGGGCCTGTGCAGTGTTTCCAGAAGAGGTCAACATTTTAATCAACAGACTGAGCAAAAAAGGTCCTTCTTTACCAATGTTGGTAGACATCATCCAGTCTACTGAGGGACCACCAAATAGAACAAAAAGGCAGAGGAAGGGCAAATTCACTATCTTTTCTGGAACTGGGA